TGAATATGGAATTGGTTAGAAAGTTTTTGTTTATTAGTCGTATTGTCTATCTTGCCTTGTTATACATTGTTGAAGTTAAGTACTTTTTCAGATTAATTTCAAAGATCTGCTTTTTTTCATTGTTGAGATTATTGTTAATTTCCAAGAACAATGGATGCCCAGGTAGGAGAAATTAATAGTGTTTTTCATTGTTTAGGTTGTAAGCTTAGGGTTCAAAGAACAATCTTACTTTGTATGTGCTTTTTACCATGGAGCTTACAATGTTTTGATATATATACAGGGTACATACACTCTCAGTTGACTTGCATCAACTTTGATTTCAGCATTGGGTTTTTTGTGTCTGACGCTGTAGAGCTTTGAAGATTGGTTTCATCAGCCACCGCTTGTAGCGTATAATCACTGTATATGATGAAATTCTTTTATCTACTGTTTCAGACCTTACATCTATTTCTGCCTTTCTAGTGTCATGTGATGTTGATTATGACTATTAAAAATCAATCATATCTGTACATTTGGTCCATGTGCCTAAAATTATTTCCACATTTGTGATAATTGTTTAAGTATACTCATGACTTCCCTTTAATGTTAAATCAGGTAATTGTGCTAAAAATTAGCGAGTGATTGATCATTGTGACTAAATAGAAAGTCCACTATAGAAACTTCGTTGACACTATCATAAACCTTGATGTGTAATTATATGAATGAAAAAATATTTTATTATGAAGAAATTGTTATTTTTATATTATTATGGAGAAATTTTAATATTTTTAATATTTTTATCTTAGGATGTTTTTTTCTTTTTTGCGACGGCATTACACCGTTGCAAAAAATAGAAAATTTTAATATTTTTATTAATTTTGTTACAGGTTTTACTTTTTGCGACGGCATTATACTGTCGTAAAAAATAGAAATTTTATTATTTTTTAATACTTTTTGTGTTGGCATTACATTGTCGCAAAAAATAGAAATTTTCATATTTTTAATACTTTTTGCGACGGCACCACACCGTCGCAAAAAATAGTGTTTTTGCCGTTGAAAAAAAAGATTATTAGCGACGGTATTTTTTGCCGTCTCAAATAACATTTTTAGCGACGGTAAAATAGTGCCATTGCAAAAAAGTCAAGAAATTTCAAACGTTATTAGCGACTGCACAGTGCCGTCGCAAAAAGGCAAAAATGCCGTCGCAAAACATTAGCGACGGCATTGTGCCATCGCAAAAACTTTTTTGCGACCCCTGCATTTGCGACCCCCTCTTGCCGTCGCAAAAAGTACTAGCGACGGCATTAGGAGTATTAGCGATAGTATTTTACCGTCGCAAAAAGTCAATTTTTTTGTAGTGCACCCCTTCCTCAATTGACAGTTCATTTTGAAAATTCAAACTTTTTATTAGATTTTGAATTCAAATTTTAAGTATTGACTTTTCAAAAGTGAACATGTATTTTAGGACAACAAGAAATGAGATAATGGATTAATAAAATGGGACGGTATATATACATGGGCAAATTATAATATCGGTCCTTTTAGTTTTGAGTGAAACTAATTCAATTTCAATAATTTGAACCTTACATTTTTCAATTTTGTTAAATGTGATCCCTCAATCTCTGTATTTTTTTTTTTTAATTCTATTTTGATTCTTCTAATTTTACATGTATTTTTTTTTTTGTGTGTTTAAAATATTAAGGATGCATGATTGAGTGACAACATTTTTTTTTTTGGTGTCATACAATAGGATGTTGGGGAGTTAATAAGTTAGATTAGGGCATCTTCGACAGTACATCAATTTTTTTTATCAAATTTGAGTAAAAATTTGAGGAATCACTACAAAAAATTCACTTTTTTGCGACGGTAAAATACCGTTGCCAATATCCAAAAAGCCGTCTCAAAAGTTTTTTTGCGACGGTAAATAGCTTTTAGCAACGGTAAGAGGGGGGTCGCAAAAAAAGGGGTTGCTAAAGGGCTTTAGTGACGGTAAGACGCCGTCGCAAAATATTGGCGACGGCAAAATACTGTTGCCATTCATGTGTAAAAATCTGAAGTTTTTGAGACAGCACTAAAATACCATCGCTAATATAGTTATTTGCGACGGCAAAAATACCATCGCAAAAGATTTTATTTGAGACGGTAAAAATACCGTCGCTAAAATGGTTATTTGTGACGGTGAAAATACCGTCGTTAATACTGTTATTTGCGACGGTGAAAATCCCATCGCTAAAGGCCTTTTGTTTCAACTAATTAATAATTCCAATATCTTTGGCGACGGCTATACTACCGTTGCAAAAAACCTAGTTCTAAAAAAAAGCTACAATAAAATTATTAAAAATATGAAAATTACCTGTATTAAATGAAAATAACTATAAAAAAAATCGATAATTATATAATAATATAAAAATTCTTATATATAAATAAAATTTCATCCATAATTAAAGTACTCTTCCATTCATAACAACACATCATCAAAATTATCCCACCATATAATGTTGCATAATACATACATAATGTTGCTCACAAATCTAAATAACGTAAATCAAAAATAAAAGTTTTCTTCATAATTCTTCCGTGGGTTACAAAAGCAAAAGTTCGTCGCAATCTTCACACGATTGCATTCCACAAGAAACAAACTGCTACTCAGGAAATATTTGAAAATAAAAAATAAAAATAATTAATGACAATATAATTATGTGTTAATATTTAAATTAAAAAAAAACATAAAAAATTAATTACTATATAATTACAAAGATAGTTAAGTAAATAATTTTGGCTAGATAAAAATCCAACCCTAACTCCCAAATCGGGAACCTGATACGAGCCCTGTCTTCTCCCACAAGTCTCTCGTGCCTAGGCGGTCGTGTGTGCCAAGTTTCGTGTCAATCCGATCCCGTTTGGTATTTTGGGGCGTCAACACCTCGAATTCAAGTTTCTTAAGGAACTAGTTTGCCTAGACCGAAATACGGCTCTAACTCCCAAACCGGGAACCGATTCGAGTCTCGTCTTCTCCCACGAGTCTCTTGCGCCTAGGCAATCGTGTGTGCCAAGTTGCATGCTAAACCGACCCCTTTTGGTGATTTTGGGGCGTCAACACCTCGAATTCAAGTTTCTTAAGGAACTAGTTTGCCTAGACCGAAATATGGCTCTAACTCCCAAACCGGGAACCCGATTCGAGTCTCGTCTTCTCCCACAAGTCTCTCGTGCCTAGACGGTCGTGTGTGCCAAGTTTCATGCCAATCCAAACCCGTTTGGTGATTTTGAGGCGTCAACACCTCGAATTCAAGTTTCTTAAGGAACTAGTTTGCCTAGACCGAAATATGGCTCTAACTCCCAAACCGAGAACCCGATTCAAGTCCTGTTTTCTCCAACAAGTCTCTTGTGCCTAGGCGGTCGTGTGTGCCAAGTTTCGTGACAATCCAACATCGTTTGGCGATTTTGGGGCGTCAACACCTCGAATTTAAGTTTCTTAAGAAACTAGTTTGCTTAAACCGAAATACGGCTCTAACTCCCAAACCTGGAACCCGATTCGAGTCCCGTCTTCTCCCACAAGTCTCTCGTGCCAAGGCGGTCGTGTGTGCCAAGTTTCATACTAAATCGACCCCTTTTGGTGATTTTGGGACGTTAACACCTTGAATTCAAGTTTCTTAAAGAACTAGTTTGCCTAGAGTGAAATCCGTCTCTAACTCCTAATTCGGGAACCCGATTGGAGTCCCGTCTTCTTCCACGAGTCTCTCGTGCCTAGGCGGTCGTGTGTACCATGTTTCGTGCCAATCCGACCCTGTTTAGTATTTTGGGGTGTCAACACCTCGAATTCAAGTTTCTTAAGGAACTAGTTTGCCTAGACCAAAATATGGCTCTAACTCCCAAACCGGGAAACCGATTGGAGTCCCGTCTTCTCCCACAAGTCTCTCGTGCCTAGGCGGTTGTGTGTGCCAAGTTTCATGCCAATCCGACCCCGTTTGGTGATTTTGGGGCGTCAACACCTCGAATTCAAGTTTCTTCGGGAACTAGTTTGCCTAGATCGAAATATGGCTCTAACTCCCAAACCGGGAAACCGATTGGAGTCTCATCTTCTCCCACAAGTCTCTTATGCCTAGGCGGTTGTGTGTGCCAAGTTTCATGCCAATCCGACCCTGTTTGGTGATTTTGGAACGTCAACACCTCAAATTTAAGTTTCTTAATGAACTAGTTTGCCTAGGCTGAAGTATGGCTCTAACTCCCAAACCGAAAACCGATTGGATTCCCTTCTTCTCCCATAAGTCTCTCGTGCCTAGGCGGTCGTGTGTGCCAAGTTTCGTGCCAATCCGACCCCTTTTGGTGATTTTGGGGCGTTAACACCTCGAATTCAAGTTTTTTGAAGAACTAGTTTGCCTAGAGTGAAATCCATCTCTAACTCCTAATCCGAGAACCCAATTTGAGTCCCGTCTTCTCCCACAAGTCTCTTAGCTTAGAATGCAAAGAATGCAAATATACATTTTAGCTTAGAATGTAAAGTTACATTTTATACCTGATCGTCTGGTGGTGGTGTATATAGATTCTCGTCTTCTGCAGATTTCCTAAATGCTCGGTGGCCACTCGATGCATCAGGAGCCTATGATAGTCAATTCATAATGTGTTAATCATATTAGAATTTTATACATAATGTTGTGTGACAATTTAACTATCAAACAATTTAATTTATATCGAACCTGTCTGTTGGGATCCACACTTGCCCCCTGTGACACAAAGGCCATCATTTTAGCTCTCAGCTGCTGTAAATGTGTAGAGAACTTTGCTCGCAGCTCCTCCCTCAACTCATCCCTTAGCTCCGCACGAACCTGCTGGGTGATCTGAACAATAGTCGATGGCTGGGGTGCTAACTGTGATGGCCCTGCATCATCTTTATACGCTGCTCTCAGAGGCACAGTTCTCCCATATGTGCGGCAATATCCATGATTGTCATGACCTATCAACTCATGGAAAATGGCATTCCTAGCCTCCAAAGTCCGACAATCCTCAGGTAGCATAAAGAGTTGGCCATTAAACTCATCCTGTATTGAATAAGAAATACAAGTACATGCCAAATTAAGATGGTTGACACAAAAAATAAAAAATAAACTTTAAATACAATCAAAGGTGTTTGGAAACTACCAAGGTCTGGATAACCTCTGGGTCATCTGCTCTACGTGTCATAAGCCAAACATTCATCTTATCAGTAGACTCCTCCTTATTGGTCATCTACATTTTTTTAGAAATATGAAAATTAGAATCCAAATAATTTGTAAATATACAATGTTTATTTATATACAAAAAAAAAAAAACAATAAAATATAAACCTCATGCCGTATCTGAGCGAAAGTAGTACGCCCTGTGGTATGAGTTATGCCGTGAGCTCGCCGATTTTTAGCGTTCCTAGTTGCAATTTTCTATAACAAGTTCAACAAATGTAAGTATATAAATATAATTTGTATGTTTACATATCATACATATAACTTATTTGTATACCTCAGCATCGGAAGTACGCCAATACTCCACAAGTTCTTCCCACTGGCTTGGCACAATGTGCAAAAGAACATCATCCTTCAGATTATGATCTTCACTTCTAGGCTTGAAATACATAGACTTAATCTTATTCTTGTGATCCTTCCATATGCTGTTACAGTTTTTCATGTAGATTGGCTTGTGCTCCTCTGGACATATATTCAAATTGTCTTATAAAACACAATTTCAAGGTTTAAATAATAATAACACAATTTTGGAATTTAAATTTTTGGACAAAAATATACTTTTACCTTCACATCCTTCCAGATAGCATCAAGAATATCATCAGGCACAGTGTTCCAGTCAAGAAAAGTAAGAGGAACAATGTTACCATTTCGCACAATAATGCCAAGTTGAGTAGTTAACTTAGACACGTTATCCCCTATTGGACAGTAATTTTCATCAAATTGTATGTCCAACTTGGTACTAGTACCCCACTCCCTAATGCCCTTGGCACATCCTCTACCATGCCTACTCGAGGTTGATAAAGAACTAACATGACCTGTGAAATACAATAAGAATAAACAATATGCAATGATAATAAACAAATGTAAATTTAAATAATGTGAATACAAATCAATTTCTTATACCTGAGTGAGGCTGTGAAGAAGTCGAAGGATCTGAAAAATACAATGAAAATAAACAAGTTATATGTAATCAGAACAAATAAATATATATTTAAATAATTTTCATACAAATCAAAGCAAATTTATATACCTACGGATGGCTCATAAGCCGATGACTCTAGTCAGGATGATAGTTGCTGCAGTGCCACTGATGGCGGACACACCAATGGTAGGCCTAGAGGCTGAGTAGATGATAGCTGATGTGGTGCCACTGATGGGGGTCGATGCGGTGGCACTAATGGCCCTTCTGATGGTGCTCACTATGATGCCTCCTCTAATGGTGGTGCCACTGATGGTGGACGCACCAATGGTAGGCATGGTGGCTGAGTAGATGATAGCTGCTGTGGTGCCACTAATGGTGGTCGATGCGGTGGCACTAATGGTGCTCGCTATGATGCCTCCTCTAATGGTGGCACTAATGGCCCTTCTGATGGTGGTCGATGTGATGCCTCCTCTGATGGTGGTGTCGCTGATGTCCTCTTACGTACCGCATCGGACATCATGCGCCAGGGATGATCAGGTTTCCTCTTCCTTCCCATAATAATTTGCAAGCAATAGAACATTAATTAGAAACATAGACAATGGTTTGTCATCAACTATAATATGACATTAATTGAACTAATACAATTACAAAGACAAAGTAAATTAAGAAACTGAAGATTAACTATAACCTTGGCCTTAATTGAATTACTGATGTTGATTAAATATCAACCTATTTGAACATCAACTGTTTCCCCTTCTGCGGCTTCCCTCACCCAACCAACTTCTTCATCACGGAGCATTATGTTTTCTTCTAATTGTTGGCTCATATATGGCTCGATTTCTGGATCAGTCGAATTCATATCAAATAAACCTCTTGTCTTTCCAACTAGCATAACTTATGGTATTTGCCTTCAAAGCTACACCACAATTTTGTGTGGCTCGACGGTCATCCATGGCCTTTACTCGATACTGAAACCCATTCATTATATACCCGTTGAACCTCCTTGCCAGGTTATGAGGACCATTTGCCAATACAGTAATCTCTTCAGAAAATGTGACATCACTAGTCCTTCGCAAAGTTTGAACCTATTTTAAATAATAAAAATTGTAAAATTTAAAATATAGTTCGACTTAGGTAAATAGAATCTGTAGATTTAAATACATACATGTTCCTTGAACCAAATGTGAAAAGTTTCAAAATGTTCACGCCGAACCTGATGATCGTTAGCACAAGGCATTTTGACCTTAAGTTCTTCAAGGTGTTTGCTATGTAGATTGAAATTTTATCAAAAAACAAATTTTGGTTCAAAATTCAATGAAACATAATAAAATATTGAGTGAGTGACATAACTTACTTTATGAATGGTTGAACCGCGGCTGTATTGAATAAGACATACTGATGAGTTTGTGCCCAAGAAGTGTTATCAAGATAAAAGCTTGTGATTTCACCAACAGCACGACCCAGATTATCATCACCACTGTAGTTCCTCACGGGTTGATTAGATTTAGTTTCCACATCATTGAGATATTGTGCACAAAAAATCATGCATTCTTCCATAAGATATCCTTTAGCAATTGAACCTTCTGGATGAGCTCTATTACGCACATATTGCTTCAAAGTAAGAAGATACCTCTCAATTGGATACATCCATCGAAATTGAATCGCTCCACCCAATAATGCTTCGTCAACTAGATGTATAGGCAAGTGCTCCATTATATCAAAAAAAGTATGAGGAAATATTTTCTCTAGATGACAAAGTGTTACGGCGATACGATCTTGAATATATTGCAAATCCGTCGCACGATTCACTTTGGAACACAATTGTCTAAAGAAATTGCTCAAATCAATCAAAGGTTCAATTACATTCTTTGTTAACGATCTTCGAATGGCCAATGGAATTAGTTGTTGCATCAGAATATGACTATCGTGGCTCTTAAGACCCCCAATACTTCTATCATGTAAGCGCACGCGACGCGATATATTGAATGAATACCCGTCGGGAACTCTAACTTCATTCAATACTTTCAAGAACAAATCTTTCTCATCCTTGGTCATCGTGAATTGTGCCAGTGGTATATAAGCTTTATTCAACCCTCTTAACTACAAATGTAAGGGTTCTCTAATATTCATTTCTTGTAAATCACACCGAGCATTAACACTATCCTTCGATTTTCCTGCAACCCCTAATATTGTCCACAACACATTGTCACAAACATTCTTCTCTATATGCATCACATCGAGGTTGTATCTAATTAGATTGTGCTCCCAATATGGCAGTTCATAGAAGAAACTCTTTTTCTTCCAGCTATGGGTGCGATGTCTAGCTTTCTCCTTCTGTACTTGTCTCCTATGCCTCTCCTTAAGGTCATCCCTCTTGTATTGGGTTAAAATACCATCAGATTCTAATTGTAGCAGCATCTCAGTTCCAGACAACAATTTTGGTTTGAATTTGATTTCCCGACTACCATCAAATGATACTTTATCCTTTCAGAATTTATGGCCATTAGGTAAAAATCTGCGATGACCCAAGTATGATTGTTTCCTACTATGCTTCAACCAACACGATGTAGTTTTCCTATTGCAACAAGGACATGCATATTCACCTTTAGTGCTCCATCCTGACAAGTTTGCATATGCAGGAAAATCACTAATTGTCCACAATAAAGCTGCATGCATTTGAAACATTTGATTTGTTGATGCATCAAATGTGGAGACACCGTCATTCCATAGTTCTTTCAACTCCTCAATCAACGGTTGCATATACACATTAATCTTGTCACCAGGTCCTTTTGGGTCGTCAATAAGCACAGATAAAATTAGAAATGGTTGTTTCATGTACATCTATGGTGGCAAGTTATATGGAATGAGTACAACAGGCCAAGTGCTATGAACTATGTTCATCGTCCTGAATGGGTTAAAACCATCAGATGCTAAGCCAAGCCTTACACTTCGGCAATCATTACTAAAGTCAATATTCCGACGATCAAAATCTTTTCATGCAAGGGAGTCTGCAGGATGCCTAAAGACACCGTCATTAGTTCGTTTCTCTGCATGCCATCTCATTAACTTAGCCGTCTTGGATGACATAAACAACCTCTATAACCTTGGCTTTAAAGGAAAATACCTCATTTGTTTTGTAGCTATTTGTTTGCCACCGTTGTGAGGACCATTTGAACCACCATCACCATTTGATTTCCATCTTGAACTGTTGCATATGACACATTTATCAAGATTGGCGTCCTCGTTTTGAAACAACATGCAACTATTGGGACATGCATCCCATGTCTCATATGTGAAGCCTAAATCTGTTGTAACCTTTTGAGCTTTATAATATGAGTCCGGGAGTTTTATACCCAACGGGAACGCCTCATTCAATAACTCAAGCAACATGTCAACAGACTTGTCTGTCCACTAATTAAGCACCTTCAAATGTAGAAGTCGAACAATGAATGACAAAGATGTGAACTTCTGACAACCCGGATACAATTCACTTTGTGCATCTTGAAGAAGTTTGAAATACTTTGCAGTCTCTGCATTTGGACTGAGCTGGGGTTCAGATGCATAGGGATCAGGCCACTGTGCTTCATTACCGTCAACACTTGTACCGGCATGTGGATTTCCCACAGCCCCTTGTATCATTCCAACCATATCGTCGCCAATGTCTAAATTAACCAATGTTTCATTCCCTCGATTACCATGCAGAGATACGTAAGATTCCCCATGATTAATCCAATGTTTGTACTTTTTTAAAAAACCATTCAAAATCAGATGCTTCCGTACACCCTCTCGCACAAGATGGTATCGATTCTCACATTTTCTACACAGACAACTAATCATCGAACCTTCAACCCTATTGGTGTAGGCAAACACAAGGAATTGATCAATCCCATTAATGTATTCCCTCGACATCCTATTTGGAAAATCAATCCAACTCTTATCCATCATCTGTACTTCCCTCATATGTGTTTCCCACTATTAATTTGCTTCAGGCAAACTTACTGGGAGATATACATCTTGCATGCTACAATGAGTGAAAGAAGATATGTGATGGTCATTATGCCATTAATAATAGTTTCCAATAATAAAGGGAAATGGAACTTGAAACTGATGCCTCAAAAAAAAAAAAGAAAAAAAAACAGCCACTAATACATGCTTTTACAACTTGAAGTTCACAAAAGAAGCTACATCACCTAACTGATAAACATATATCTCAGTTCATGTTTCACGATTTTTTGCAATGTGAGATGGATATTGAGTAAAATTTTAAACCTGTCAAACAAGTGGCCAGAATAGAAACCACAATCTGTTTGACTGCATTTCACGATTTTGAAACAACTAAGGCTGTTTTTCTAACCTTTGTTTGTGCATTTTTAGTATTCAAGGCTGTTATTAATGTGTAGGTCAATCCTAATCGCTTTATATTTATGCGTTTATATGTACTATACATTTACAATGGTGGAACTACTAATAGAATTTGTAAAATGCATAATAGGATGACTCTCTAATTTTATGATAATCACTTTGCTAACTCTCTATTTTATTAGTATGTTGCCTTGTATAATGGGATGATCTTTAACCATTTCACATGATGTATGTGAAGGAGAAAATGAAAGAGATGTAAAGAAACAGATGGGGTAAAGAAGAAGAAGAATTACCTACCTCTGTATCAAGGTTAGAGGATGAAAATGAGGAGCAACTAGACGAAGGTGCGTGTAAAGGATGCTCTTCTGTTGCAGCAGGATGTCCTTCAATCTTTTTACAAAAATGTCAAATAAAATGTTATTTGTGATCCCAATATTAGCAATGCAATGCAGATCGAACATGTTTTGTCAAATTTTGAATTATAATTAGACAAGATGAATTACAAACTACTGAGATAGGTTTTCGGAAAAAATCTTGCAAAATTTTAACTTTAGATGGTGTTTTAGTACACCATTGAAGATGCTATCAAAAAGTAGAGTGATCCACATAAATATTTACAGATCAACATAAACTTGTTTTTTACTTTCATATTAGATTGATTCATTAACATAAATTTCAGAAAGCATGCCAAAATTAACTCAATGGATATAGAGTAACAAACTTCGGGAGGCAGGTAGATAAATTAACATTTATCATCAACAATAATCGCATGGGACAGCAAATGCCTTGGAGAAATAAACCCAAAACCGATCAGAGACAAAATCAAGCAAGTAAATGACAGTACAACAATCAAAAAATCAGGCATGCATGGCAATAAACGAAGGAGAATCTCACAGATACAGAACCAATAATCGACGAATACAATCACAAGTTCACCGAAAACCAATTAAAAAATTGAGAAACATCAGTCCATAGAAATGTATGCTCATAAAAGATGAGCACATTAGAATCCAATTTCATGTGTATAGATAGATAGATAGATAGATGGATCGATCTCATACCTGAATGTTGCAGGTGTAGTGGTCAGACTCGATTGAAGATTGTAACCCTAGGCCAGATGGGTCTGGTACAGTGAATTCAAGGTTCTAGGGTCTTGGACGGTCGAGGAAGGAGTGACAGCTAGTTTAAGTAGGCTTTATTCGGATCCTCTAGAGGACTCTTTCCTGGAGTATTCCTGAAGTAGTACCAAAACGACAGTGAATGAATGAATTTAAAAAATTAAATAAACAAAAAAACAAAACTGGATGCTGGAGAATGGAGAGAAACGTGAACTGCCAAGTGAGAGAGAGAGGGGAAATCATTTTTCAGATTTTGAAATGATTTGCAAAATTTAAAATGCCAATCAAATGAATATCTTCCCAATTTTCAGCACCAAAGCTACTACATTCAAAGCCTACAAACCATTTCAATTGAATATCTTATGAGCCATTTTGATATCTCAAAAATTCTAAAATAATTCTCATGCTTTTCAATTTTGACATACAACTCACCTAAAAAAAGTAGTACTTTTTTGAACTGGTAGATGTATATACAATCGACAACAGCTTGGTTAGAGGAGTGGAGGCTACAGAGAGCTGATACAGAGCAATGGATGCATCACAGACAACTTCCCCAGGACATAAAACAAATTGAAGAATGGGAGGACTCCAAATTCTTAAAACAAAATGAAATGGCTGAGGGGTCCCAAAGTGGGAATCAAATTGAAGAATGGAAAGGATTGAAGGTGGTGGAACTCACCCTTAAAATGTTCACAGTCATTCACAGTCTTGCCTCGTCACTCGTAGTTCGTAGTCGTTCACCCTCGTTCTTGCCTCGTCACTCGTCGTTCACAGTCGCTGCCTCGTCACTCCGGCAAAGGCCGTCGTTTACCCTCATCAATCTGCGAATGCCGTCGTTCACCCTCCTTCCCTCTGACACTGAATGATTTTCATTTCAGGATTTTGGGGATTCTGGGATTGGGATTTTGGGGATTTTGGTTTGGTGAGTTTAGGGATTTTGATTTGAGGATTTTGGGGATTTTAGCATGACCGCGAATGGGAGAAATGAGCGGGATGTGAATTTTTTTTTTTTGCGACGGAATATATACTATCGTCACAAATGATACATGATTAACAAATTAAAATGACGTCGTTTTACAAATTTTTTTTTGCGATGGGCTTATGCCGTCACAAATGGTCCACCATTTGCGACCGTAACTTTTTACTGTCACTAAATAATAGTTTTTGCGACGATATACGTGCGTCGCAAATGCCCCTGTATCGCAAAAGTCCATTTTCGTCAACGGTAGATAAACGTCGTCACAAAAATACTTTTTTGGCGACGGCAACTACAATTTTTTGCGACGGCAGGTGCCCCGTCGCAAAAGCCTCCATGTTATATAACAGATTTTCTTGTAGTGAATCAAGTGCTCTAACGGAGGGTTTTGTGACTTCGCCAAACCACCGGTCGACTGGTCTGACGATAGAGCAAATATTTGGCTAGTTGACCAGCCAGTGCAAATTTTTCACAATTTTTCTTCTTGAGGTGGTCATCTGAGGGGTTGACCAGGCAGACAACCGAGAGGACAACCAGGCAGTCGACAACCAGTGTAATTTTTTTACAAACTTTTGCCTTAAGGTGGCATCCGGGGAGGATATCCGGTAGCGAAAATCCAACGGCAATGAATAGTGATTTGATGAAAAACACATTAATCCTCAATTTAATAAAAGAAAAGTGAAATAATGAATTTGATACCAATTTGATAAAACCGTTGGAGTTGAAAAATGAACCATTTTTCATCAAATTCAAATTTGATGATAAGTTTGATACACGGTTGGAGATGGTTTTACAACGGAAGGTTCATAATTGCTCTATCGACTCGAACCCTTAACCTCTAGTATTCTCACATTCTCAAGGTATAACTACATGAATCATTAGGCCAATTAAGAAAATGCTATAGGTCTCAAATTTTCTACCAAATAAATGATTAGATGTCTCACATGGGTATAGGGTTCGCAAATGTCTCACATGAGTATGGGGTTCACAAAATTGCAAACCCCACACCCATATGAGACATCTGATTATTTAATTGAAGGAAAATTTGGTATCACTAATATTACCTGGCCAATTATTCTGTCCAAGTGACAACATTATAAGAAAATTAAAAATATAGAGTTAAAATTATTAAAACTAAAATTATGAAAATTAAAATAACATTTTAGCTAGATAACATCAACTAATGATATAATTTACCCTATATATTTAATTTGGAGATGTTGATTGCTTATATTGCGCTAGTTTATCAGGGACATTGCACTTTAATTTAACAATAATTTCTGTCCACTTCCAAAAAAGTAATTCAGCTTTAATATAATGCAATAACATGTCAACACTTCATGTCATTGAAAAAAAAAAAAGAAGGGGGTTAAATTATACATTTCACTCTTTCAATTAAGTTTTTAAATTTTAAACCGAACTTTAATATAGCCTTCCAATCACTCTATCATTTAAAAGTCGACTGAAAAGTTAAAAAGATAAAATTGTAATGTCCCATGATTATTTTACAGCCTTTAAGATATGCTCAAATGGACCCATCATATGAGTGAAGTTTGTACATTTTTTTAAGGAAAAGTTACTTCTAAATTTTAACAGGTTATGATAATTAATAATATTTTTATTGAATATTATTAAAAAATATTATTTATTATTAATTTTTAGTGATAGTTTAAAAGTTATCATAAAAATGTCAGTAATTATAAGTTTTAAAGAGGGTATAAAAAAATTATCATAAAAAGATCACTAATTTTTAACTTTTAGCGACAATTTAAAAAATTCGTCACAAAAAAATATCACTAATTGTAAGTTTTATCCACAATTTATAAAAATTATGACAAAAAAACATTAATTGTTAATTTTTAGCGACATGTGTAAAAAAGCGTCACAAAAAAATTATTTTTAGTAACGATTTTAGTAGGATTTATTTTTAATAAGACTTTATGAGAATTTAATCTAATTATTAGGATATATTGATAATTTATTTATTTTTATCTGTGAGTGACGGGAGGACTACGTGGAAACAAGATAAAATTTTAAAGATTTAATTATTATAATTTGATATTAAAAATTAAAGTAAAATTAAATAAAAGGTCAAGGATGCAGGTGTAATTTAATCAAAAACAAAAAAAACAAAAAAAAACCTATCTAAAAAAAATAATAAAAAATTAATCAAAAAAAAAGTGACAACATTTAATGTTCATATTTTATAGGGAATAATGTACAAATCCAACGCACAAGACTCTAGACATTGTTTGGTCTAGGAATCTCGAATGCCAGATATGCTTGTGTGAAAATTAATTTGGATAAGAATATAAAATGATTGAGTTTCTTTTTTTATTTAGATTTCAATATGAGAAAATTGAGGGGTTAGTAAAGGTCATCATGGTTTTCATTTCGATGATTCGAACTGTTATTTTGTAGGTCTTTAAATGCATATTATGTATGAAAAATTTTAAGACAATCCGACAATCGTAATTGTTTCATTTTATTGCATTTATGTTTAAAAAATTGAATGGTCTATGTTAAAAATATATTTTTGCAGAGACAAATACAGCATAATTAAAAAGTTATGATTATTAGATCGAACTAATTTTTTCATGAATAATATACATTGAGGATCTTATAAAATGAACCGTTCGGATCATTGAAACAAGACCTGTGGTGAGCCTTACAGATCATTCAAATTTTCTCACATTGAGATCTCAATATAAGAGAAACCTAACCTAACTTAAAAGGCAAAGGGAAATTGAGAAAAACTTTTGTCCGGGAAATCCCACATCGGTCTGTGAGGGACTACTTTCCCATCTTATAAGCAGGCTGGTTCCTCTTACCTTGCATAGGCTTTTTCCACCAGTGGGGGAGGAACAAAACCGTGCGGTCGTAATGCCAAAGCGGACAATATGTGCAAGGCATGGGGACCGGTAGCTTTATTTGGTGCCGTCTGTGGGAACTCTCTCCGAGGTGACCGGAGCCAGCGCAGCTGGGGGCTAATGTGCGGGAAATCCTACATCCTTCTGTGAGGGACTACTTTCCCACCTTATAAGCAGGCTGGTTCCTCTTATCTTGCATAGGCCTTATATTGTCCGCTTTGGCATTCCGATCGCACGGTTTTGTTCCTCCCCCATTGGGGGAAAAGGCCTATGCAATGTAGGAGGAGCCAACCTGCTTATAAGGTGGGACAGTAGTCCCTCACAGACCGATGTGGGATTTCCCACACATTAGCCCCCAGTCGCGCTGGCTCTGGACATCTCGGAGGGAGTTCCCACAGACGGCGCCAAATAAAGCTACCGGTCCCCGTGCCTTGCACATATTGTCCGCTTTGGCATTCCGATCGCACGGTTTTGTTCCTCCCCCACTGGAGGAAAAAGCCTATGCAATGTAAGAGGAGCCAGCCTGCTTATAAGGTGGGAAAGCAGTCCCTCACAGACCGATGTGGGATTTTCTGCAAACTTTAATTTACATTTGTTTCACTATTCCTTTTCTTTCTTTCTTTTTTATTCTTTATAATTATTATCCAAATTAATAATTCGAACATTGCCTTATCTTTTTTATTCTTTATAATTATTATCCAAATTAATAATTCGAACATTGCCTTAATATCAATGTAGAGAGACTATTTCTTGTTTCACATTTGACAACCCATTATTAATTTATTTTTATTTTTTTCATTTCATATGGTTTTAATTAAAAAAAGAGATATCGATAATAGCATATTTGGCTAGGAGTGTTAATTAAAATAAACAAGGGACCTATTGGCATCAAAGGCAACAACCTTTGTTTACTTTTGGTGAGCATCTTAGTGGCAATCTGATTAAAGGGAATCATGATCTACATACGAATTAATGAGAAAATTAACATATAATAGTCCCCCAATGTCAATCAAGACCATGAAAATTTGGACTTAATTGTTTTGTCTTTAGTATAGACTATGCATCGATCAGTCCATGTCTCAAGATTGTGTCTGGATTTTGGAATTTAAATATGCATAAATTGTTTATCTTAAATATAGAT